GAGAAGAAATGATGTGTTATCTATTTTTTCTACATCGTCTGCTCTTAGTGTATGCCTGGCACTCAATGTACTTTTCTTGAACTAATAAACAATAACAATTCTCATCAACAGTGAACCATACCAGATGCAGGCCCCAGGACAGTAGAAGGAACTGTTGTTTCCTGGGGATTATGAAGAAGACAGGAAGGGCAAGTCCATTGACTCTATTGAATGGGAAGTTGACCTGGAAGTATCAACATATTTATCTTCTACTTTCTAAGGGTCTCAAGGAAGATAGCATTTTGTATTGAGGACAATGAGAGATAAGAGTTTGTGTTAGCTACGGAAGCCTTCCACAGGGAAGTGAAGCTCTGACCTTAAACCCTCTAGCGCCACAAGTAGCAACTTGAGCTGCCAGAGCTTATCTTAATTCCCTAACTTCCACTTTTCTTCCTTGCTTTTACCTGAACAGACACATCCATGAAAGAAACATTGTCCATGAGTAAGGTCAGACTTCCACTAAATGGAACAGCCCATTTCTGACTTCAGAAAACAGAGCTCTATAATTTAGCACAAGTATTCTATAAATAAAAATAGAACGGAATGACTTTTATCTGATAGTTATATACTAAGCAGTTTTATTTTCTTAGTGGAGGGTCTCAAAAACTAATCCAATGCTCTGTCCCTATGTTCCAGAAACAGAGGGTTCTGTTGCTTGTATAGATGGTCTTTGACTTAGAAGGAGGGTTACGTTCTGATAAATTCATAGACTAAAAATAACATAAGCCAAAAATGCATGTGATACATCTAATGTATCGAACACCTTTTTCTGCAACACAGACCTTTGTAGAGCGTCTGTTGTTTCCCTTTGGGGTCAAGGAGCTGATTCAGAGCTTAGAAGTTAGCATAAAGAATGTCACACTGCTTATGGATAGTCTTGGAAATGTCCAAAACCCAAATGTGAAGTATAGTTTCTACCCAAATGGATATTATTTTCCCACTATCACAGAAGATGCAGGGGAAATGATTAAGTTATTGGATTCCAAGGCAAGAGAAAAGATGAAGTTTTTCTTTCATAGCCCTGACTTCCACTGACTGATTGAAAAAATACAGTACAAGATGGCAACTGAGTTATACACCTAATTATTTTAAGTTCCATTTACTGATACTTCATGTTCCTCAAAGAGCATCCTGACTTGTGGGTACTGTGTGTCACAACAGGCTTATGAGTCTCTCTTTTGGTACTTAAGATGCTTCTATGAAGGTCTATTAAATCCATACTGTTAGGTTTATGTTAAGTAACTGTGGGCTATGTTAACAAGGAATTGAAGTGCTCTCTCTCTCTTTCAAAGACAATAGCTCCTGGATAGTGTTATAATAAATACCTGAATATAATAAAACCTGAGTTGCTATAAGCCTTGATTATGCCTTCACTCAGTCATCCGAAATAAAGTTCTATCTCTGTATGGACACCACTTATAGTAAAAACTCAACTTATCATAATTGATTTAGTACCATTCATTCCATTTGAACAATTAGGGTTTCACGATGATTTATTTTAAGCACACCTACTTAAAATAAATGCCTTTTACAAAACCAAACAAAAAAGATCTTGTAAAACGTGATTGGAGAGGCTCAGTTGGTAAAGTGTTGGTTTTGCAAGTACGAGGATCCAAATTGGATCCATAGAACCCATGTAAAAGAAGCCAGTCATGATGGCGTGTAACTGAAATCCCAGCACTGAAGAGGGACAAATAGGTCCTGGGGGTCTCTGGCCAGCCAGCCTAGCCTACTTTGGCATGCTTCAGGCCAGTGAGAGACCCTATCTCAAAAAGCAAAAGTAAAAAAGATCAAAAACATCCCTCAAATACCAAGGTGAATGCCATCTGAGGAGTGGCATCTGAGGTTGTCCTTCAGCCTACATACACACGACTATGCATACAAATATACATATATGCATACACACGTATACATAAATGGTTTCAATAAGAAAAACTGTTCAGATTGCTAAAAAGCCTTTTGCTACATGTGAAATTAAAGCAGGAAACCATAAGCAAAATGGAAAATGCTCATTTTCACAGTTCAAGAAAAGGAAGCATAGATGCCATTTCTAGGACACTTCAAGATGAGTAAGGAGTATAGGTAGTTGGTTTAAATATTTGTTTTAATCCTGACAAGATCACTGGTTTTTAATATTTATAATATAACTATAATGCTTAGAGCTCATATCATTCATGTAATTTAATATTTTTTTCTCGTGACATTACTAGGCTTTAATTTCAGCAATGGCAAGAATTCAAAATCACATTTAGGTTATCATTAGTAATGGGACACAAGGCTGATGCTTGTTCAAGTGCCTTGTGCACACATCTCATTTCAACTTCAAAGCATTTTTAACTACCAAGACACAATCCACAGTGTGCTTTGTGCATTTGCACAGAATATTATTAGCTCATGGCTGGCTACTTGAAAGTAATATGCTGTAAGGCAATTAAAGGTAAAGTACTCTACCCGTGCAACAGCTGTAAAGGGTCTCTTTGAAAATTTCAAGACAGTCAAAGTCAATGAAAACTGAACCATAAACTGTTATAAAATGCCACTGTCTTCCTTTCTAGCCACATATCACTAGGTAGCAGTTGCCTGAATTGCAATTTTCCATTTTTCTTAGATGTCATAGCAAAAGCATGCTTTTATGCCTAAAAGGATAAAAACCTCCAAGTGTCATGTTCCACTAATCATTAGCTGACAAACAAACAAAATAACCACAGATGCCTTGTTCTAAGTGGTACCCAGGTATCTGAGGGCTCATTTCCCAGTGACAGGCTGAAGAAATCGGAAGACAGGTGGACAGCTGAACAGGAGATGGAATACTGCAAGGGCGAGCAAACGCTTGCAAAAGAAATAGTCTAGACACCAAGGGGAGCATTCATCAAGAAACAATTATGTTATTTCATGTTAATGCGAGGAAAGGAAATACTTGTCAATGGATATATCCCAAACTGCCCCTGGAGAAAGCCGACAGAGTACCTGAGGCTATATCAGAAATCTAATTGAGAAATAACGAACATTACTTCTCACACTCTTACACATGCATGAAAATGGCTGCGGGTTGCAGTTAGAATAGGATTATTGCTGTGCTGTTGATTCTCAACACAATTCAACAATAGAATAACAAAAATTCATGACAAAAAATAAATAGGCTCATTATCAAAATACCACCCACCAAACTCAAGAAGAGAGCAGTCTGTCCCTTGAGTAATAAACCAGCTACAACAAGATCATTCCTGGGGAATATGTGAATGGCTGCTTGGTATTCACAATAGAGCACTGGTTAATAGAATTCAGGAGGCTGCTGCAGATTTTCAGACATCTGAGTAATTTTCATCTGCATGATTACAGCACGGTGAGGGGCTCCTCTGACAATACAGAGGTGGTTCGCTTCTTATCTGTAATATGAAAGTTTGGAAGTCATTCCTCATTCCATTATTTCAGGATTAACTTTTTCACCACAGATACAGGCAGACACACAATTCCTTCTCTCTCTGAATATGATGGGTAGCTCAGCCCTTGACAGTGGACTTTCTCCACCATGAAAGCACTGTGGCAAACAAACTCAGCAGGGACACAAATCAAAGTACACCTGTGGCTTTAACCCTGCAAACTGGCACACCAGTGAGGTGCTTTTTGGGATGTTAGCTAAAGAATGAAGACATACAGTAATTTAAATATTTGGATCATCCTAAACCATTTTTTTCAGCAATAATAATCATGACTCTACAAGAAAAGTTTTCATAACATAAAAAACAGTCAAATGTGCTTATCTTCTCTGCAGGTTGTCTATGTCCATACTCCCATTCCCTAGTGTTATTTAGGATCACATTGTCTCTTCTTTCTCCCTATTCTTGAGATTATCTCAATTGTCAATTCCAACTCTTTCCAACCAATGCCCCATGACATATTAAAAATGGTTACTGAGCACTGCCAAAGCATGATCCTTGGTGCTAAGACCAGATTCTAGACATACAATGTTCAGTAAAATGGCTCTTAAAATATAGCCACCTTTTACTTCCCTTTTTCTCTTTTTCTTATTTAAATGAAAGTAAGAATTACAAATGCATTTATGTCATCAAAACTCTAATCAGGTTTTTGAGGGGAAACACAGTTTTCTTTTATAAATCTATAAATCTCTGAACACAATTACAATAATTGGTGTATTAAAGGGGAATAAAACCAGAAAGCATCTTAGATTGCAAAGTCTTGTGATTATAATAAAGGAAGCAACATCTTTATGATTTCTAAGACAAATATAGATCCTATCATTTATCTGTCTGTGTGTCATCTATTATCTATCAATTATGTCTATATTTATCCATTATGTGTCATAATCTCTATAGATTACCTATGGTCTGTTATCATCTCTGCATCTGTCTATCATCTGTCTGTAATCTATCATCCATCTATCTATCATCTATCTGTCTATCACCAATATGCCATCATCTCTATATACGTCATCTATCCATGTCTACCTACCTATCATTTGTCTGTACATCTATCATCTATCTATCTATCTATCTATCTATCTATCTATCTATC